GTCTTATTTGCGTCGAAATTTAATAAATCAATTCTCGATAATTAATAACACGTGGGATAATAAATTTCTAGTACTTTACGAATGACGATTAGATTATAAATAATGCACCTCAGTGTGAAAATGTAATCTTAAAAAATTATCCACGGTCTTAAATTTCGAAATGCGACGCAGTTTTCTCAATACATCAATTCCGGTAATTAAAATTGTTCCGAATGAATAATTAAATAATTTTCCATAAATAATAAATATAATAAAATATTTAATTAAGTGGTAATTCAATCGTTAAATTTTGTCCAAGTATTTATTTTGTAAATTTTACTGCGTCACAAATTCTTATGGAATGTGCGTTCAAAATGGACGACGTTACTACGTAGTTAGCTTGACCTCGGGTACCGAGAGACGCTTGACTAGTCGTGAGCTATGACTGAAATGTTTTTCTCGATATATAGAAAATTATATTTGTTAATGAAAAATGAATTCATTAATTCCAATCAAAGGTGTTAATTATTATTAACCAGCTGAATTAATAACTTAGATCCTCACGACCAAACCCTGGAGGTCTGGAACATTCCTCACGTGTAACAATCCCCTGGAGGAATTGCTCTCAAAGCTAACAAAATTAATTTAATTCAAAGAGTTAAATTATTATTGAATAAAATATTATAAGACGAATTGAATTACCATTAATTAAATAAATGAGAGGTAGTATGGAAATTGAGCCGGGTGTGACCCCCAAGGCTCAACACTACCAAAGTCCAATACCTGGCGTCAATTGGTTTAAAGGAACTCTTTGGTTGCTAATGGCTTCCTTCTTGGACTCCTCGTTGCTTGTTTCAACACTACACCACTTCTCCCGATACAACGCACTGCTCAGCTATTTAATGGCTCCCCGAAATACCCCCTCCTACTCTCTTTCTAGGGCCGAAGATCGATGCGCCAAAATGCTAGTCGACAAAGTTATCGATCTCTGGCGACTTATCGATTAAGGGTAATTTACCCTGTTACAACATCGTTGTTATTTTAATGCTTTTATTGTTGTTATAACAAAAAAAAAGAATACAGAAGCAATGGAAAAACTCTGTTCGGTGAAAAGTTGTCCAAGTGGGCGAAAATTAAAAAGTAAAGGAATTGATACGTCTCAACCTCTATCTTTTTTTCGACCAACAGTATGTATAATCAATTTTTATTAACTATTTCAAGATAAACATATAACAATTTTGTATTTTTTGCAATAATTGTCAAAAAATTGTGAAAATCTTATCGAACAAATTGTTATTCAAAACGCTTAATGAAAAAAGTGCAGTTGTGTAAAATTTTTTTTTCATTATTATTGATAAATTATCAAAATTACAAAACCTGAAAATATCTGATAAATTAAGTATCTTATTATTTTTTCAATTAACAGATTATAACTTTCATAATTATCTAGATGAATCAACCGATTACTATTTTTTTAAATTTTAATTTACAGACACCGGCAAAATTAAAAAAATGGAATATGGCTTTGGGCACTAGAATGAAAACAACTGATTATATTTATCACCTACATTTTAAAAAGGAGGATATAAAAATGTACGAAACGTTCAATATTAAAGGAGAGATTACGATTCTTCCTACAGGCAAAAAAACGCTACGAGAAGAAGCTCTACCAACAATTGAGCATCAGTTGATCTCTGTACCAGCACATGAACTCCAAGCAAGTGTCGTCAATATATCACAAAACGTGCATTCTAATCAAAATCAATCAGAAAACAAACGGAATCACCTAACACAAGAGCATCAAGATCAACATGAGCAACAAGAATTGTTACTTGATCAGGGAGTTCCTGATAATTTAATTCATGTCATTCAATAAATTTATAAGGCGAATAAGCAGCTCAGCTTATGGGTTTCAGTCAGCTACTTTTCAAGGCTTGCAGCAAAGATGTCAAACAATGGAAAAAGGACAAAAGCGAGGAGTACTTTTAGTCGATGAAATGAAATTGAGTGAGGGTGTTTATTTCGATTCTCAAGCTATGAAATTTAATGGATTTGTAGATTTGGGAAATCACACTCCGGAGGACTTAAAAAATAAAAGTGCAGATCATGCATTAGTTTTTAAATTTGTGCCTTTCCAAGGTCAATGGGTTCAAGCTTTGGGCTGCTTCCTTTCCAGAAGTGCATGTAAAAGCGAACCTCTACATAAACTTATTCTAGAATCTATAATTTTAATGGAAAACAGCGGAATTTGTATAGATGCTGTTGTAATGGACGGTGCTTCATGGAATCGGGGGGTGTGGAAAATATTCGGAGTAAATGAAAATAACATAAGTTGTGAACATCCTTATGACACTTCACGACGTTTATGGATGATTTCAGATTTCCACCAGTTATTAAAATGTTTTAGAACATCTACTTTGGGCGAAAAGTTACCCGAGTTCATGGTAAGATTGAAATATACATTTATTTCTTTAAATTATGGATAATGTCATTAATTTAAAGTGTAAATTTTTCAGACACCTTACGGAATTGTGAAAAAAAGCATTAGGAAGCTCTTCTGGAGGTAGAAAACTATCATCAACCAAATATGATAATTGCGTATAAATTAACGCCGGCACATTTGAAACCGAAAGGCTTTCAAGTAATGAATGTACCTTTGGCCACTGAAGTATGTATAGTTGATTTTTTTTTCTTTTGATAAAATGAGACAATGGATATTCAGCTGATTTTATAATTGTATTATCATTTCTTCTATTATGATTTTTTTATCTATATAATTTTAGGTTTTTAGTCATAATGTATCTGTTGCCATGGCTATACACCAACCGATATGTGATAAATTGAAAGACTCAACTCCGACACAGAAATTTATAGATCTTGTTTTTAATTTGATCGAAGCTATGTCTTCTCGCATACCTAGAAATGCCTTGTATGCCGAAGGAAATTGTCGTAAAAAACAAGTAAGTATAGTTATAAGATGAAACACAATAATTGAAGATTTAAACGTTGTAGGTTTCATAGAAAAATTGAAACTTGAGAAAGTTATATAATTCAACTGCCATAAAAATTTGTTCAATACAAAAACTGTCAGGTACTCAATGCCAAACGATTATTTAATGTTTGTGGCTTCATAAAATACATTTTTTTTTTTGTTAATTTCTTCGGTGGAGAGTATTTTTCTAAAAAAAATTTTAAGTTTTTTTTTTTTGGTGTGGTTGAATTTGTGGTCTACTTTACATATAATTTATTTATTTTGTTTGCATGTAATATTGGCAATAAATACTTATAGAGACTAATAATTTTGTGCAATTAATGATTGACTGTCTGATTACAAGCGTTAAAACTCATCCAAATCACAAATTTTTACAGGCAATTTTGGAATTTCTGCAATTTTTTGAAAATTGGGAAAATCTTGAAAATAAAATACCTGTGTCAAAAAGTACTTCAATTGGTTTGAAAGTAACGTTACGAGCTACACTTGAAATATTGGACATGCTTAAAAACGAATGTGGATATAAATATTTAATGATCATTAGAGGTATGTAATAATAGACAAATAAAGTTAATATAACTATTATTGACGGTATTTGTCATCATGTTATTACACAATTATTGATCTTTCATTTTAGAGATTTTTTTCTGTTATGCGACATTCGTGTGGAGGGAATGATTACCCTGATCCAAAAATGTTTGCTCAAGTTTATCGATTGGCATCTACGTTTTCACTTATACGTCCCCCGAAAGGAAGTAATGTTTCTGGTGACAATCTTTTGAAAAATTTAATGAAACCTGATGAAGTTTTAAGTTCTTCGAATCAAGAGCGAGAATCATGGCTTCGAAAAATCGATGCCATTCTAGAAGATACTGAACCCCAAGTGGAAGGTTCTTCACTAGATGAAGACCACGATTATAATGAGGCTGTAACCAGTGATGTCGTGCAATCATATATTGCTGGTTACATAACTCGCAAAATGCAAAAAAATGTAAAATGTTCAGATTGTTTAACAACTTTACGTATGAGTGCAGTAGATGGTCAACAATTACAAAGAAATGACGTTATCAATAAAATGAGTAGATTTGGTGGACTTTTGTATGCTAGCTCCGAGTTGTTCGAATTGACCAAGCAATTGGAAAAGTGTATTTTGAGAGCTGTAAGCAAAGCTTTAACAAATGTTGAGACCATAAGTCAAATATATCATGAACTTAAAAAGGTAAATCTTATAAATGTTGGGTGCTTTCAGCATGAAAGAGAACTAACTGTTAAAATAATCGATGTTTATATTGTGATGCGGGCTCATTTTTTAGCTAAATCAGAAAATAAACGCTATGACGCAGCTAAAACGAAAACAAAAATGAACCGAAAAAACGCCAAATTATATTCTTGAACGTACTGCTACTTATTAAAAAAAAATTATGTTACGTATGGTTAAAAATATAAATTTTTATTCCTTTCTTTATATTTTAATATATTGTACTGTTATTAATAAATATATTATTGATTGCCTGTTAGACCCGTTTTGGTAATTTCTATATTTAAATAATAATTATAAAACCTCTACAACCTTTATTCAGCACGCAATTGCATAAATGATTGAAATTTTGCTTGTTACAATTTTTCTTTTAATTTCGGTTATTATTCAATACTATTTTCTATTAACTATTTACAAATAATTGAGGAATAATTTTATTCCATATACATGTTTGTATATTATAACAATTTTAAAAAATGCGCTCCAACACAGCCGAAATTTTTCTCTCCTTTATTAATTTAGTATCCCACTCTAATTATTTGTGGCGCTCCTTTTAAAATTATTCCACCTGCTACTATAGCGCCACCTTAATATGCTGGCTTTCAACGGACACTTTTTAATACACTGAGATTGTCCTCCTTACTTCTACCCTCCATAGATAAAACTCGACTGTTTTAGCATCCATCTTTTTCGAATCCTTTTTTTTTTTTAATCGCCCTCTTGCTTACTTATATAACTTTCTTTTGCTTAATTTAATTGCTTTTAATTAATTTAGTGTGTTTCAGATAATTTAAAATTATTTGTGCAGTAATTATCGCTTTTTACAGTGCCGAAAGTTTTCTCAACCACGTGCTAACCGGCTTCGCTTTGATAACCACGCTGTGCATTGCTTATCTGCTTTTAATTAAATAATCCGCTATTGAATCAATTAAATATTTAGTGTACTCATTGTTAATAAATATATAGTATTATTTTTGTTAATTATTTTTGTATTTTAATTGAAATTGAACAAACCGAAACCATCCAAAGTCCCAGTATCTTTCATCTAATTAGAATTGAACTTTTACACATTCTTTTAGTATTAAAAAAAATATTTTAGCAAGAAACTAATGATTTTTAATAAATGATTTATTTACTCACAAATAGATTTATGAATATAAATAAAAATATACAAATATAAATATATATATTTATTCACTAATAAATCATTTATTTTTAATTAATTTTGAATTTCTTGCTTAAAAAATGAAGTTGTGAAAAACTAAGAAGTTATTTTTTATTATTAAAATTCAGAAATTGTTTAATTATGAAATAAATAGAAAAATTCGTAACAACAATCAAGTTAACTCAATTATACTGAGAAAAATTGATTGATGAACATTGAAATGATTAAACTAAGAACACTACACTCAGATCAGTTAGCAGCGCCCGGGACACCGCTCGAGACTTCCACGCAGACGGACCAGGTTCAAATCCCTTCACATCCGGATTTTTTCAGAATTAGTTTCTATCAACCAGTAGTCCATCAGCTCAGAATAATAATTCAAAAATAAACAACAAAAAAAATTTTTTTTAATTATTTTACCTAAAATTTGATTTTTTTGCCTATGCTTGGCCGATGCTCGGCCAATGCTTGGTTACTATGTTCGGCCGATGCTCAGTCGCCTATATCGGCTGGGCGTTACCATCCAATGCTCGCCCAGTCTTGGCCCAACAATATTTCACGATACTCGGCCGATACTTAAAGATCAGTTGCCAGTCTTGGCCCAGTATCGGGCCGATCTTCATTTTTTGTATGGGATATTGAACTTACTTTGAGCTGTATTTTTCAATATTTGTATTTGACGACCATTTAGCTCTATTTTTCCAACTAAGCGATCAGCGGAGCAGTACGCGGTAAAGGTTGATTTTGTGTCGGAGCTGAACCCACTTTTCAACGAGTATCGCCACCCACGATTTGCCCTGGACCATATTCTTTACGCGAATTAAAGCAATTTAGCTATTTGTAGCTTTGAAAGCTATCGGCTTGGTCCGCCGTAAAATCTAAAGCTACAGGCATCCGGAGCAGCATCGACTCTTATAAGCCACGGCTTCGAGTTGGTTACACTCCGGGTGTAATGGGCGTGTCTGTTCGGCCCAGTTCGTAGAATTTATTAAACTAAAATTTAGATAATTCATTTCGTAATTAATTAATAATTTAAATAAACTTAAATAATTTATTTTATAATGTAAAAATTTTATCACTCTACGAACAGTCGAGACCAGCCACGTTTCAATATTAAAAAATATCAATAATTAAGAAATGACCTTGTATCTTGTAAACTATTACCATTTTTAAAGATATAAATTCACCCAGACATTACACTTATCGAGACCTTTCATTTGAGTACCCACATCAATTTTTCATATATTTTATATATTTATATATATTATATATAAATATATAAAATATATCCCTGGTTAAAAATACTGATTGAAAAGAATTGAAAAGCGGTCACTCCATGCAAACTGTATATCTATATATACAAACAAAAGAATTAAAATTATTGAAAAGAATTCGAATTTCATCAGTTTTAATTCTTTTCAATCAATATTTTTAAACAGGGATGCTTATATCTTCAAAAACGTATATGCTTACATTTTCAAAAACGTCAATATTTAAGAAAGTACAGTGCAATTTAACAAAAGTCATTATTTAGTGAAGCGAAATTTTTGTTTATTTATAATTCACAAGTCACGGTAGACACATAGTGACTAATTATAATACTAGCTGCGATGGTAATAATTACCATCATGATTGTAGAATTTACAATCAACATGATTTTAGCGGTTAACATATATTATGATTATAAGTTTACCATCTTCAAGTTACCAGCCAAATGGTAATAATTATTATCCAGATGGTAAATATAACTATCTGGATGTTTCAGTTAACAATTTGGATAGTTCTTGCAATCAGTCATACTAAGAAGCCTGTTTTTACAATACTCGGATAGTTGTATTTACTATTAAATTCTCTCCGTGCAGGAGCACTGGGCTTGATACCACCACAACTTTGTCAAAAATCATTTTCACGATTTAATTTTTTTTTGTTTCATTTCTTAGGGAATTTGCCAAAACCCTTGTAAAAATTGCATGTCCAAAATAATTCAGTTTCAATACAGTTAATTTTTTTCGACTGTCAGTTCGGTGACTTTTTCTGTGATTTCGGCAGCCATATATATATTATTTTTCATAAAATAGAATTGAAATAACTATAAACAAGCAGAAACTATGCATACATAATGGTATAATTACTAACTGTTTTATCATCTATTAAGATTTTTTTAGCTTTCCGCTAAGAAAATCGAAGAATTGAAGGGGAAGTTATTGTTTTCACCCCGTTTTGCAAAAATCGAGCTTTCATCAGATCTCGACGTTTTAGGGTCACAGGAAGCTTCCCTGACTATTCCCGCGATGTTGTCACCGTGTCTGTATGTGTGTGTGTGTGTATGTATGTGTGGGTGGGTGGGTAGGGGTTTTTGTGTGGGTGTTTGTGAAAGTATGTGAACCGCTTATAACTTTTGAACGGTTTAACCGATTTCATCGAATTTGGCGTTATTCAAACGGGTTTGGCCAAACTTAGATTTTGAATGCAATTTGAACCGATTCGGACCAATAGATTTTGAGAAATCTCAAAAAAGTTAAGAAAAAAAATTTTTTTTAATGTGGTTTTCTTGGAATAACTTTTAAACTGCTCAACCGATCGATTTCAACAACTAATCAGCTTCTAACATCGAAAAACCACGTCGATTGCCGCTAAGCTGGTCAAAATCGGTTGATTCGTTCGAGAGATATCGTGAACGGAAGAAAACCGAAAAAAGTGTTTTTACGTAATTACTCCGAAATTCCTAGTTCGATCAGTTTAAACTTGATGATTCTTTTTGAGGCTAAAAAAAATACGTCGATTGCCGCCAACTACGTGAGAATCGGTTGATTCATTCAAAAGTTATTGCGATTTGAAAATTAAAAAAATAGCTTTCAATGAAACTTCTGTCAGACTTTGGAGCTCGAAGAGCTCAAAAGTATAAAAAGCTATCTCTTTGAGCTCGGAAAGCTCAAACCCATGTAGGAAAGTATGGTGGGCCCAGGCTTGGCCCAACTATGTACAACTCTGGGCCAGGCTTGTAAGCCAGAGTTGGCCCAGTCTTGGTTTAAGTCTGGAATGATAACGCTGGCCCAAGCCTGGTTACCAGGACTGGCCCACGCCTGGTTACCAGGGTTGGGCCACAGTTAATTTTCAAGCCCGGCCTATGCCTGATAACCAGGACTGGGCCTTAGTTAATTTTCAAGTCTGACCCATGCTATTTGTTAAAAAATGATAAAAAAAAGAATTTTTTAAGTATTATTTTTTTATTTTATATTTTTAATGTAGAGCTATCGCAAGTTCAGAATGTTTGACTCTTAATTTAGGACCTAACTTTCGCTACTTATAGAAATAAAGTGAAAATCGCATTCCGTTCTAACCGAGATTCGAACCCGAGCCGCGCGCTTGCCAGTCCGATAACTAACCCCTATGCCGTACGACCGATGAGATAATGCATATCTCATGATTCTGATAAACTAAATCTATAAGGTGACGAAGTGGGATGGCTTATTATTTATATAATTTATGTTATCTAATATTGTGTTTTGATGAAAATTAATTAGTTTTTACAAATTTTTGATAGTTAAAAAAAATGCAAGAGTTAAGTTTTAATATTACTTTAACTTTAGACTTTGTACATTGTTCTGTATATTTTTAATCTCTTATTATAAATTATCAATATTACTGTTTAAAATTATCAATATTAAAAATTCAACTGTAAATAAGTATATTTTAATTTTTTTAAGACTATATCAATTTTGAGGATATGCAATTGTTTTGGATAAATAATTAATTTTCAATTTTAGCATTTGCTAACAAATATTCGTTAAACAATAAATATTCATTTTTTAAGATTCTATTTCTTAATAATTAATTAATCTATGGATTTTCCATTGAATGACCAAGGCTAGGTTACCTAATTCTGGCTTAAGCATTGGTTGCCGTTCAACGGCTTTGGCTAGGCTTCCCAGCCTTGGCCCAGGCTCGCGTAATTTTTGGACCGACCACGGCTTGGTTTCCCAGTCTTGGCGCAAGACTGGATTCTTTTACCTCGGCCATTCTATGGCAAACTAGTCTTGGCTCAACGCTAGATTTTTTCCCTTGGCCATTCTATGGCGAACCAGTCTTGGCGCAACGCTGGGTTTTCTTCTCTTGGCCATTCGATGGCAAACCAGTGTTGGCCCAGGCTCGGATAATTATTGGGCCGGCCGAGGCTTGATTGCCCAGTCTTGGCCCAGGCTCCGGTAATCATTGGGTTGCCCAGTACTAGGCCAGGCAAGGCCCCGTTATTCAACTCTGGTAGTTCCTACATAGGATATAACACATTAATTGTATTCGAAGAGCTGGAAAACATCATTTATGCAGTTTTGAGCGCTTGAATATAGAATTAGCGGGAAGTTGCACGGATGGCTTTTAGGGTCAACCGTTTTCCGAATTTTTTTTACTTTAAAACGCGTATTTCTTAAGAACTGATACTTCGTTGAAATATTTGTCATAATACTCGGCAATTTCTAAAAAAATAAGTCTAATTTCCTTGTAGGAAAAAAATTATATACAACGGGGCCTGTCTTGGCACAAGACTGGGTTGCCAAGACTCGGTCGAACTATACTGGTCCACGACTGGACCACTACTCAACTGACAAGTCTTGGTTGATCAGTCTTGAGTCAAGACCCACCCAATATCTATCTAACAAGTCTTGGTTTGCCAGTGTTGAACCAAGACCCAGCCACTATTGACATTGTTAAAACTGTAAATTTGACAGTTTTTCTGTCATTTTATTGTTGTTTTTTTTTTCAAATGCTTAAATTGAAAATTTATTATTTAACAAAAATAATTACATATCGTCAAGATTAATATGGTCTTAAAAAAATTAAAATATAATAATTTACAGTGGAATTCTTAGTATTGATAATTTTAAACATTAAAATTTATAACAAAATATTAAAAGTATACAGAACGATGTACAAATTCTAAAGTAATATAAAGACTTGACTTTTGTATTTTTTTAAATTAATAAACATTTCTAAAAAATCGTTAATTTTCATCAAAACACAATATTAAATTACATAAGTTATGAAAATAATAAACCTTCACACTCTGTCACCATATTGATTTAGCTTATAAGAATGATGAGATGTAGATCAACTTATCGGTCGTATGGAGTAGGGGTTAGTTATCGGTCTAGCAAGCGCCCAGTCGCGTTCCGGTTCACGTTCCAAACGTATCGGCGCTATATTTTTTAATCATATTTTGATTGAAAAGTTGAATTAAGAATATCATATTTGGTACGATTAGAAATCCAATAAGCTATCTTATTTAAATTATAAATATTTACATAAAAAAATTATTATTACAAGCAACTAAATACAATTAGTGGCACAGGAGATACACATAACCTCACGGGGCACCCACAAATGCCTCCAGCAGTAGACCTAAGTACAGTGATTATTCCAACTACGAAAAGAAAACGTAGTGGAAATACATTTAATATACCTGAAGACAGATCTAAAATTTCTAAAATGCTTAACCAACAAACAAATAGACACACTATTCCTTTGTCAAACAGATTTGAACTACTAGTAGATGACAGCATGGAATTGAACGAGGACAATGCTCAAACATCACCGACCAAAAATCAACAACCAACTATAAAACAGACACAAAATCTAGCAGCAAAAAAAGAAAAAAAACCACCACCCATTGCTATCCACGGTAAAGTTAATGATCATTCAAAAATAACAGAACTTATAAAATGTTTAGTGAAAGAGAAATTTTACATAAAATATCATCAATTTCACTCTGAGATCTTCACAACATCAATGGTTGATTATACCAAGTTAGTTGAGCATCTAAAAGCCACGAATGTTAAGTTTCACACTTATTCACTAAAAAATGAAAAGAAGAAAACCTTTGTTATCAAAGGATTGCACGAAGTAACTAAACCAGAACATGTTCAAACTGAACTACAGGAAATTGGTTTTGACAATACACAGGTTAGTCTAATGAAAGGCACAAAATATCCCATATTTATGGTGGCAGTTACGGCTAACACCCATCTTAAACATGTCAAACAAAAAGCACAGTTACTGTGTAGTACCAAAGTCACTTGGGAAAATTACGAAACGAAAAGAAGAGCCTCACAGTGTCATCGGTGTCAAGAGTGGGGACACGCAACTGTCAACTGCTTCGCAGAACCAGCATGTCTCAAGTGTGGTGAGGCACATTTAACTAAAGACTGCCAAAAACCCAGAACGACACCAGCTAAATGTGTTAATTGCGGTGGTGACCACCCGGCAAATGCTACCATTTGCGACTCATATCGCAAAAGGCTACAACTAATAGCGAATAGATCAGCTAACGTGAAAAAATCATCAAAACAGCCAGATACAAGAGAATACGTCACACTAAACCTAACAGATCAGCAGCACTTCCGCCACTCCGAGTCAGGCCTGCAGAATCCAACACCAACGCCTGGTTCAACAGCAGTATGCAACAAAATAACTTAAACGCTAGAATAAATCAAGAAAGACTGAACATTAACATTAATAATAATTATCACGTAAGTAATGAAATGTCTGAGTTTTTAGAGCTTACCAATGTAATTAAAAGCATTAACCAAATTATTAATATTAAAAAAATGTTAGAATTAGCAAAGGAACTCCAAGTAAATTTACAAAATTGTACAACACAGACGGAAAAATTTAGCGTATTTGCAAATTTTACAGCTAAACTAGAAACACCATAGATAACATAAAAATATGTAGTTGGAACTCAAACGGTTTGAAAAATAAATTAGGAGAAGTCATCCAATTTTTAAATAGTTATAAAATTGATATATTTTTAATTAATGAAACTAGACTAAGTGATAAAGATAAACTTAAAATCAAAAACTATAACTGTATACGCAAAGATAAAGGTCATACAGCAGGTGGAGTTGCAATATTAATTAGAAAAGATTTAGCTTATAAGGAACTTAGCATAGACAATAGTATTACTATAGAATGTATTTCAATTAAATTAGCAAGTAACATTTGTATAATTGCAGCTTACAATAGTCCAGCTAATAATTTTACAGCTAAAGAATTAGACTCTGTTCTAGGCATTGGAGATAAAGTACTGTTGGTTGGGGATCTCAACGCTAGACACCTCAGCTGGAATAATCATATCAATAATCACAGAGGATTAACGTTATTTAATTACACCCTTTCTAATAATTGCAGTATCATTTTTCCAGACGAACCAACGCACTATCCTACCAATAACTCCACTCCCACCACTATAGACATTGCTATAAAGAAAAAAGTTAGTCAGGTATCAGACATGAGAGTCTTGCATGAACTCAACTCAGATCACACACCGGTTCTACTAGAACTAGGATCACAAGAAAGAAACTGTGCTCAGAAAATAGCCTACGACTACAAAAAAGCGGACTGGACTAATTTTAGAAAATACCTTGACCAGAAAACAATCCTCACATCAACAATTAAAATAAACGATGAACTAGATCAAACAATATGAAAATTCACCTCTGATATCTGTAGCAGCATGAATAAAACTATCCCTAAAACAACCTTTAAAAACCTGCAAGATAAATTACCATATGGTATACTGCGAATGATTAAGCAAAGAAATCATCTCAGGAAAATTTGGCAGCGCTCTAGGCAAAATAAAGACAAAGTTGAAGTAACAAGACTCACTCATCAAATAAGAGCAGCCATAATTAATCACAGAAACAAGGAATGATCCAATAAATTGGAAAAGCTGAATCCTAATGACAACTCACTATGGAGAATGACTAAAATACTGAAAATGGAAGACAATAATACCCCAGTGCTTGTTAAAAATGGAGTTGAAGCTTTTACTGACTACGACAAAGCTAATATGCTGGCAGACCAATTTGAACAGGTTCACAACATAGATCTAGTTAATAATACATGTGAGCAAGAAAACATAATAAAACAGGTAAAGAAATATCTAGAAGAAACTGATAATGATAATGAAAATTGGGATAAATTTATAACATCACCACGTGAATTGTCATCTATCATCAAGAAGCTACCTTCTAAAAAAGCGCCAGGACAAGACACTATACAGAATATAGTCCTTAAAAACTTATCTCGAAAATCACTTGTTCAACTTACATATATAATAAATAACTCCATCAAGCTATCCTACTTTCCGGAGCACTGGAAGATAGGGCAAATTGTCCCAATCAAAAAACCTGGCAAAATAAGCACAGATCCAAGTAGTCATCGCCCAATTAGTCTTCTACCAACGATGAGTAAAGTCTACGAAAAAGTGATCCTTAAGAGACTCATACAACATAATGAAAAGAATAACATTTTAGTGGATCATCAGTTTGGGTTCAGAAGCAAGCATAACACTGTACAGCAAGTAACAAGAATAGTAAATGACATCTCAATTAATTTCAACAAAAATCTAGTTACAACTCTTCTATTACTTGATATAGAAAAAGCATTTGATAGAGTGTGGATAGATGGCTTAACTTTTAAATTGATGAATTACAATTATCCACGGACAATTATCAAACTCATTTATTCTTACCTATCTGACAGGCACTTTGTTGTATCTATTAATGGTACTATATCAACAAAAAGAAAAATCAAAGCTGGTGTCCCACAGGGTTCAGTTATTGGTCCCATACTCTTCAATATTTATCTTAACGACATCCCTACTTTTCTTAAAACGAGCACAGCACTATTCGCTGATGATACAACCATTTATGCACACTCTTTCAGTGCCATCACCGCTGCCAAACAGTTGCAAGTACACATCAACATACTTGAAAAATTTTATAACCTATGGAAAATTTCATTAAATGCATCTAAGACTGAAGTCATCACCTTTGCCAAGAAGTCAAATAATAAAAAAATATTCCAGCCAATAAAAGTATACAATCACAGCATAGAACCAGCAAATACAGTTAAATATTTAGGCGTTCATCTAGATTCCAGACTGACATACCACACTCACATCAAACAAGCAATCAGAAAAGCCTTTATAGTACAAAAAAAAAAGTGTATCCCTTAATGGTTAAGGGCTCGACATTGTCAATAAAAAATAAAAAACTAATATACACAATGATTCAGAGACCAATCCTGACATATGCCGCTCCGGTATGGTGTGGTGCATCTCCAACCAACTTACTACTCCTCCAAAGATACCAAAATAAGTGTCTTAGACTTATTCTTTCTGAAAACAGATACGCAAGAATTAAAAAAATGCATGAGACAACTGACCTAATGTTTATAAAAGATTATATTTACAAACTAGCCAATAATTTTTACGAACAGCAATTGAGCAATAATAATTTAACCAAAAACATTACAAATATCAGAAAGTATAATATACCTCCCACATTCAAACACAAACTACCATATCAAAAATTAGAAATATTTAATAATATAAACACGTAAATAACTGAAACAAATGCTATTTTTTAAACAGCATACAGGCTCATGTCTGGAAGAAATTTCAATCACAGGTTTTTGCGCGAACTTTTCCTGTATTTAAGTAAATTACTACTGTCTTTGCTATAACACTGCATTCAAGTTTTAAATAAAACATTAGATACTAAGATTAAAAAACTTAATGTAAAATAAAATATTAGATTAAGCTTTATTCTTAAGCAGAAGCTACTTAAAATAAAATATCTGTAAGTGCAACATTGTAAATTTTTGTACATCTATTGTTATATTTAATAAATAAACAAAAAAAAAAAAAAAAAAGGTCTAGCAAGCGCACGTCTCGAGTCCGAATCTCGGTTAGAGCAAATGCAATTTTCACTTTATTTCCATAATTAATAAAAGTTAGATCTGAATAAAAAGTCAAATGGTCTAAACTTGCGTTAGCCCTGCATAAGAATTAAATAAAAAAAAATTACAATTAAAAAATTCCTTTTTATCAAATGGCATGGGCCAGACTTGAATAGTAACTGTAATCCTGGAAACCAGGCATGGGTCAGACTTGAAAATCGGTATTGACTCAATACTAAAATTCAGTGTTGGCGCAATACTTATTCTCAGTCTTGGCACAGTACTGATATTCAGTATTGGCAGGAAGTTATCATTTGTATGCTTAGACGGACTTGAGTCAAGCTTGGATTTCAAGTTTGCCCCAGAGTTAATGAGCATTGCGCCAAGCCTTGGCCAAACTCGGGCCGATTGTCATTTCCTCTAAGGGTTGAACTGGGGGCAATTTTTTCTGTTTTATTCGGCTACGGTCTTTTATGAAAAAAAAAAGACGATTTATTTCAATGCCTTTAAAACTAATAAATTTTAATTTTTATATTTTTTTTTTACTTACTGACGTTTGATTTTTTTTCAGGATTCCAGATACGGGACAAAATGTGCATTTTTTGAATAACTTCATGTTTATTTCACTTTTAATTTACTTTTCTTCAAAAAACTTGAAAAAATAGTAAAAAAAAATCTATTATGAATTAGTCATGCATAACATACTATAATTTATAAATATCTAACTAAAATATCAAAAACTTCTCCATTAACAGAAATCTGCATTTTTAACTTCCCATGTTAAGAATTTTCGAAAAGTCGACTTCTTGAGATTCTATAGTCAAGATAAAACACTGATAGAGTTGGATAGAGTTTGATAAAATACTTTTCAAACTCTCGTACCAATTAATTTTAAGATCAAAACAGCTCTATTCATAAGAGAACAGCTTCAAAAGCTAATGTCGTTTTGCTTCTTTGAAGCGATATTAGTGGAGAAAAGTTTTGGAAAAAGTCTCTTCGTAAGTAACTACCAGAATTTTCTCGTTGCTCGTAAAATACTGAATTCAAGCCAATCATCTTATGTTTTAAAATATTTTTTATATGATGAAATTTTAATTATTAATAAATTCAACTGAACTATATCCAAAAGATCAAAAGGCTAGCTCTGGAGAGTGGTCATTTCATTTGTGCTGGCATATTTAATGATCCAGCCTGGTTGTTGGTTTGAATATTGTACCAAAGGTAAACACATCCAAGCTATAATTTTTACAAATTGCAAATTTTTATTTCTGTATGACTTATTAATTTGACTGTTACTCAGCTTATTCACCCTTATGTTCACAATAACTTCGTTGAATCATTGCGAAAATATGGAACTTCATTTCTGTGAAAAAACGCTTGAATATGTAAGTGCAAAGGTAGGAATTACAGAGACTATAGGGGAACCTGGAGCACGAAGGCCCCCTGGGGTACGACGGCCCCCCTCAAAAATTAGGTAAAAATTTTTTTTTTCAATTTCCCTCAAGTTATGACTTCTACAATGTTTTTATGATATTTCGGGCTAATATGTGATACGTGGGGCATAATGGATCATTCGAAAAAAAATGACAAATTTGAAGAATTCATTATTTTAGGCCTTTTCAAGTCAATGAATCAGAATGAATTTGATTAAACTGAAAAATTTAATGAAAAGTTGAATTATATAGCTTATAAAAAATTGAAAACACAGTTTTTTGAAATTAAAACAGTAATAATTATATTATTAATTATCGATCACGGTATCCTCTGCACCAGACAGAAACCTAATCTCAAAAATTTATTTGAATTCCTCCAAGGATGTCTTACTTTACGCAATTCATATTTCTAATTTTGACTTGATAAAAATATAAAAAAAAGGTCTGATTCAAGATATTACGTATTTTGAAAGCTCAATCTGAAAACTCAACCTGTGATTTCAATCAATGTAAGCTAATGTAACCAATTCATTGCTCAATAAAATTTCTATATTTTTTCTTGTACGTAGGTTTAAAGCCTCCGATTGCAATAAAAGAAATTAATTATATTTTTAATTATTATCTATTTAAAACTAATTAACAATAATAACAGCTTAACAATGAAATTTATAATAATTTTTTAAGACGTTAACAAAAATTAAACTTTGAATAAAACATTAAATATAAATGTTTGATGATTAGGAAATCACATCAAGATATTTTAATGAACATACGATTATTCGTAATGATCACAGACATATTCGTCAGAATAATCTTCGCCAATACCTGCCCAAGAATCATAAGATCATTTATTACAATTTTTACATTAAATCCATGACTCTGAGGACTCTGAAGAAAGTCTATAGCAATAAAGACAATGGCAATAATCATTTTTATATTTTAAAGGTTTTTTTTTCAAATTTATTGGTTGTAATTTTGTTTCATTTTTTTTTTAAGTAAAACTTCTTTAGGCGCGACTAGGGAGTAACTCAGATTTTTTTTCTGACGGAAGTAACGCTTACTATATTATAGTCTTACTATAGTCTGTGTAGTTTCCGCTATTCAAAAATAATAATTTGGATTGGTCGTAAGTAAATGTTATATACACGCTTCTTGACTTATACGCCAGCTATAGTGGCTAATATTATAATCAATTAGGATTATTTATTTTCAATATTTTAAAACAGATCAATTGTGAATAGCAGAGTGAATAAAAATTCAACAGTTTTAAAAAAATTATTTTAAATTGCAAAGTTTTTTGAAAATCTCTGAATATACTTATTTATTTATTACTTTTGTAATAAATAAATTATTAATAAATTTTCTGACGATTGCGACATTCTATACAATTCAATTTGAAAAATTCAAAAGTGCACGACTCATAATGCTCATTTAATTATGAAATATTAAAAAAAAAAAACATAAGTCGTTCAAAATTAGTTGCCGAAAAAACAGCTGTACTAGGAAGGTAATGCACAGGCGCCCCTGGTGGAATAAATGTACATAATTTGTATAGATATATCACCATCCATGTAAATTTTACATGGATATATTTATAGATATACAGTCTTCTGGCTTTTTTATTTCGTTAATTGTACATGAATGACACTGAATTACCTAACCATTCGCGTTCGGTGACTCACAATCCGAACAAAAACAGTTTCACTGTAAAAAAATCACGCCAAGTCCACGTTCATAAGACTATTAAGAAAAAAAAAATTAGTTTTTTTCTTTACAAAAAAATATAAAATAAAAAAATTAAAAAATCCAAGTAACCGATATGATTGTTTATGATTTTCGGAAATTAAAAAAAATTTTGTTGTAAATTTAAAAATTAAAAAAACAATTTTGGAACGTATTTAGTGTGCGCGGTTGTCAAATATTTTACTTTTAACTAAATTCGTAAAATCTATTTACTAGAACTTTAAAAAAATTGAAATGCACAATATGACGCACCAAGTACGTTCTAAAATTGTTTTTTTAATTTTTAAATTTACAAAAAAATTTTTTTTAATTTCCGAAAATCATAAACAATCATACCGGTTACTTGGATTTTTTAATTTTTTAATTTTATATCTTTTTGTAAAGAAAAAAACTAATTTTTCTCTTAATAGTCTTATGAACGTGGACTTAACGCGCTTTTTTTTACAGTGAAACTGTTTTTCGAACAAAAGTCGAAACAAAATTTCGACAAAATTCTGAACATGTCAATAACACTTTACCGGTGGTTAATTAAAAAGAAATAGAAACCGATATTATAAAGGCTATCCAAATGTAATTAAAATCTCAGAAAATGTATTTCTGATAGAAATGGGGACTTACTTAACAACAAAATGAAATATACGCACAAAACGAACAATTCAAGCCGATAAATATACTGAGGATATTTCTTCAAGACACAAATGGTTTTTTTTATCAGAAATTACTGATTTTTTTTTATTCATTTCACTTATAATATTTTAACAAACTCATAAGACCAACGTTCATTTGACAGCTAAATTTGACAATTTCATAATCATGTGTAAAATAAAAAAATTACATGAATAATTTAATTAATTCTAAAGACAAAATTATATTTAAAACTTTAATGATAGATTAAAAATTATAAAAATAGCAAACTTAGAAAGACACATTAATTTTTCTCAGTTGGAGATTATATAAGTATAATTCAAGTCTCTTGTAGCGAGAATTTCTAGACTACCCTGCGCCACCTATTGGAAATTTTCAGTACTAAGTTTTTTAAATTCAATAAAATACCTTGAAATTTTAAATGCTTGACGAATTAGTGACTCAAAATAATTTA